TAAGAATATCGATTATTCAATCGATTTTTTTACGAAGATCTTGATCTGTGACTGAGAAAATATAATAATTTGGTTTTATAAGTTTCTTCGTTATAAGGAATTTATTTTTATTAATAAAATTCTATACTTTTTCGTTGCATTCATGCGATAATATTCCTCAAGTTATTATCTCGTAATGATACCTAATCTGAAGAAACATAGTATTTTTCAAAATTTGGCGCAGTTTGTGAGGTGAATTTATATTTGAGAATCGATTAATTTTTACCTCGATCGATTTAGTTTTGAAAAAAACGGCATACCTATTCTAGCGTTTTCAAAATAGTCATAGCGATTTATGTGGAGAATATTTTGATCACATGAATTGGCGTCGAATGGCGCGACGGATATGCATTTACATTGGAACATTCGAGACGAAGAGATAAAGCAGAGAAGAAAATGAATTTTTTTCAATCTCTTGGAGCGCACGAATGGAAATTCATATGATGGTCGTGGAACATCCTGTGCACCTAGGGAGAATAAGGAGGAGGTAGGTTTAATGTTTTTCGAACTTCTGAAGGTTATAAGTTCTTGGGTATACTTCCAATGGCAAAGAATTCCAAAGCTTCGCCGTTTTATAGACGAACGAGTTTTGGTGAAATGTTGTTCGACATTTTTCGAGGTTAACGACGAAGGGAAGTGCTGACTATGGACCTGTCGAGTTCGTCTGACTAGTATTGCTAGTGATGGAATTATAGCAGAAATTTCTGAGGAACATTTCCCGTGGTAGTATATCTTTCCTACGGTGTTCTAATGGTGTCAATGAGTTGGTGAGTGAGACATCACCCACCAGGCGAATAGCCCTTCTCTGGATGGAATCTGAGAGCATCAGCGTATATGTTTTGGTACTGAACCCCATACATGAGAACCGTATTCTATAACTTGCCGTATCTGTGCTTTGTAGATCATGTGAAGGTGTTCAGGTGTGAAGTAGATTTTTGCATCCGAGTTTTTTTGAAACAGTTTTTGCGATGGATCGGACATAATTTTTTCATGAGAGAGTATTGCTGAAATGGTAATAACGATCATAGATATAGTAGTTTGGTGGACATGGTGGTACGAGACATTGTTATATCAGGCATACTGAGTTCAGCCTTTTTAGAAGAAATACAGGCTTGAGTTTTGGTGGCCTTCAATTCAACTCTATGTTGTTGGTTCCCCAGGCTGTGATTCCGCAAAATCTTTATTGACAGCGTTGGCCTGTCTTCGTCGTAAGTTCTCAGTTTCCTATGAAGAAATGGGAATTCTAGAAGAGAACACAGCATGGAGATTACTTTCGCCTGCAGAGTTATGGATAGGGCAAGTGGTTGCTTTCAATAGACGTTGATATGAAGTAGGAACAATGTTAGTGCCAAGAAATATCCTTGTGGAATGCCGGAATTGGTGGCAATGGTATCAGACGATACACCGTTCACAATCTCACGGAGCGATCTGCCTGAAATAAAACTCGATGAAAGATGTCATAGCTGAGGTGGTAATGAGCCGTATGATGATAGTTTGTGGAGTAGTCCTTGGTGCCAAACACTGTCAAATGTCTTTGATATACAGTGTGGACTCGGTGGAGACATTAACTGAAATAAATTCGTTATAGCATGGAAGTGAATATTTCTTCAGAAGATTCCCGGCATACGTCAACGATTCAATGTTTTAACTACGTGATTTTTTCAAGTATTACCCTATGGCTTGTTACCCCTAATTTTAAAGCTGGTGGAATGGGGAATCTAGCGTACTAGTCAAATGTTAGTTTTTCATACGTTTGAAGGTTGCACAAGATTGGAATGTAATTTTAGAATTCAGTTTTTTCCAATATAACAATAGCTCAAAATGAGTGTTGAATAATTTATGGCAATTTTTTGCCACAACTGCTACCTGCTATTAATTGTATTCCAGTGTTTTTATAGAGCCACAAAAAGATATTTACTCTTATTGTCGTATTCACAGTCCGAAAGGAAATGTTATTGCAAAACGAGTGAAAATGCCCAAAATCACTGTCACTAAAAGACGACATTTCGATGAAAATACGTTGGGTACAAAAGTGCATAAAAATAGTTCTCTTCAAAAACGAAACGAAGGAAACATACAAAAATGTAAATATATAAAATAAAGAAAACAAATGCCAGTCTTCTATTCTTCTGCATAGCGTATCTTTGGATGATATCATCACCATTCAGAGACTGCTGCAGATTCCCTTGAGAATATGCATTAAATTTCCTTCTAGGCTCTCTGATAAGAAAATTCTTATTATAGTTCCAGTAGAATGTTCATGTTATAGCAAACAAATATTTGTTACGTTCCTTCAGGTCAGTTATACCATTGTTTGGTGTATTTTGCTGAGTATTCCTCATTTTCTTCCATAAATACATTTCAGAAACGATCTTCTGAGAGGACATTTCATCATTCTCCTCAAAAATGGTCGAAAACTGTTCAAGTATATTTCCCATATCTCATATATTTTCTCATCGGTTTTGTTTTTAGTTATTGATGGCACACAATGGTGAAGGTTGTATAGATTCAATTCATTTTCTGATAGTCGTTCTTTCAGATCAGAAAACAATTATAATGATCATCCACTGAGGAAACCGTAGGATTCGGTCTATGAACCATTCTCCCTGTTATACTCGGCTTCGAAAATTCGACATTCAGTTCTTTTAATTTCTGTGGCTTCATTCGAAATATTTAGATAGTATTTAGAATATCATCCCTTTCATTTTGAAGCGTCAGTAGAGTGATACTAACAACATCATGTGCTTATTTTTTGTCTAAGTATTTAGTTTGGAGGAAATTACTGAGTGGCAGTATTATCGGAAATATTTTTGCCAAACAGCGGAGTGTAATTACAAATTTGCAATTCCTCAGAGCTGTTGCGAAGTTTCTAGCTATAAAGACATACATTATTTTTTCATTCATTCTTGCTCCATGGCCCTCCTCCCTGGATCCGCATCTGCGATGGTAGGCTTGGTAGGTTTGTTTAAGGGCAACAACTCTAGAACAGTTTTTGTTGAATCAGGGTTTCGAAGCGGATGGTCAAAGAATGAGGTTATGTATGTGTCCATTCCAAGCGTGATGATCCCGAATATTTCCGCGGCACACTGTGAAGGATCCTCACAATCAAAGCATATTCTCTGCCAAGGAAACTAAGAGAATAGATGCGGAGACCTTCCTAGCTTCACGAGTTATAATGTCATACAAGATGTGTGGGTGCTGAAAGAATTGATGGAATGAAGAATGATGAGGTTGTGGAGATGAGTGTGTGATCAAAATTGCCAAGTGGTGCTCGTAAATCTATGGTGTAAGGTGCTGACTTATTAGTGAGGAATAAGTCGAGTGTGTTGGCTGAATGATTGTTGATGAGGAATTCTTGTAGGTTCCTTGAATAGCTACTCTTATAGCCGTGAGTGATGTCGAAAGCTTTGGCTAAACGCTCAGCTTCATCTGTTTGGTTGGAGTGTACGAGTCAAGCAGTGCATGTTGTGTGCATTGAAATCGTCCATGATGATGATTTCTGCTGCTGGATGGTTCTGCTGAATCAGGTCCAGCTTCGAAAACAAGAACTCGGAGAGCTATTCAAATGATGGATCATTGTAGATAGATAAGTAGAGACAAGAAGGATATTTGGTATATTTCTGGCTATCGAGTTTGAACCATGATTGATCCGTTTAAGAATAAATGCAGAGATCTCCCTCGAACCTGGAGTATGTGTGGCGTTCGTACCCAGGACAGAACATATATATAGGTCAAATTGGTGGGTGAATTGACCTGTGTCTCAGTCAGGGCCAATATATCTGACTTCTCAGTCTGAATAAGGTGTCTATGGACATCGTTGATGTTCTTGCTCAGACCTCGGATGTTACATAGGTCTATCTTGAGGACTATTTCAGCTGCTGGAGAATCTCTTCTAGCACCTCTCGTCTGGAAATCGGAATGGAGAGGTATTTTACTTTCTGATAATTTCACTTGAGGAGAACTCATCATCGCTTTTTCTGTATCGAAAAGAGAGTTTTGCGTGGAAGGACAAGCGAGGAAATTGGATTGGGTTGGGTTGGCCGGAATCACCAACCAGCTACTACAACACGGGTAAGTATACCCATTTCACAGTGCCTATGGTTGATGTGGTGGTATCGCTCCAGGTGTTAGCCATTTTCCACCTGTTTGCGTCCTTTTAGTCGCCTTCTACGACAGGCAGGACTTCCCGTGGGGTTATTCTAATCCGACCGCCATACGGGTAAATCTCAGGGTTTGTCTTCATTGGTACCACTTTTGGCACTTTTGAATAACATTTTGTATATTCGTTCTGTATTAAAACTACTAAACCAATTGCATGAATTATAGCAATGAAGGGTTTAACAAAACCTCACAAACGATAAGATTTCCAAAAAATTCTTAGTCAGACATCTATCGCTAACACGTCAGCTTCTCCAGATGAAATACTGGTAGGTACCATAAACTCATTTTCATTATGGATTTCCTGATTTCCATCAAGTAACGGCCGTAACAAACGAGAAATATATTTAGTGATTTACCAATGTATGTACAGTTGTCTTCAGAGAACATGTCACCCATGGACGGTGTCAGCTCTGATGTTAATCACCGCTGCCATAAGAGCGCTCATACCGACCAACCGCGATATGTTCACTGAAGACGAATGTACAACCTACCTACAATAGTACCGAATATTATTTCATAGGAAAGTTTATATCATTTTTTTTTCATTACTCTGAATCGAGTTCTGAATGAATGAAGTTTACTACGATTTTGATTCTGATGTTATAAACTATCTGAAAAGGGAGAAGTATGATGAAAAATGTCGCTACATCACGCAAAAAGTAGCAACAGTTTTGAAATTTCGCCTGCGCTATGGCGACTTCTAGCGGTTTTTTTCGTAACTATCTGCGACATTTCATGTTCAGCAGGTGGCAACACTGGTGTCTGTTACTTTACTGTGTTCTGATGTTCTCTGTTTCTCTGTTAGTTGTTCTGTAACGTTGGAGAGTGGCAGTCGGCTATGGAATGAAATCGCTAAGCAGGCCACGCTTCACGAGTATGACCAATTGACAGTCGACGGTATTATTTTCATTATACGAATTTAGGCTCGAGTTGCAACAGAATGTGATCGGTGTGATTGTTTTTGGCGATTATTTTTCTGTTGGTGTCTATTATTATTCAGTGAAAGTGATTTGTTTTTTTCGGCAGTTTTTGGATTATTGTTCGAACGATTCGTATGGTGGGTAACTATTTGTTTTGTTTCGTTTTCGCTTAGACTTTAGACATTCCAAGATATTGGTAGGTATACGAGGTTTGTGTGGATGGGGATATTATTAGACGATGCGCTGGTCCAATTTTCGATTTCATAACTTTTCACAAGATGTTGTAGACATATAGAACATGTTATTTTGTATATCTACTATACATGACACAAACAAGGGAAATCCGATCAATCACTTTGAGAATCTAAAAATTGTTTTATTATACCTATACCTACTTATTATTGTAGATCCCTACAGATCGAAGAGTGGTACCTAATGAATTATATCATAATAATCAGCCGAGTAATCAGCATTAGCATTCACCGAGGCATTCACACCTAGCTTTTTCAAAAGAGATGCGGTCAAATAATTCATACCCATTGTAGAATATAAAGAGTTCATTTTTATTTTCAATGGGTCACTCTGTACAACAAATTACTAATTTACACTACTCAACAATGTTCAGGAGCGCTTAGGGCCTCGGCCCTTGAATTGTGGTTTAGGGATACCAGAGATTATTATACAGTGTGGATACTTATTAATCTCTGGGCTCTGGGAATACCCTCCCAAGAGTTGCTCGGTTGTCAACGACAATCAACATGATTAAGTATAGAGGTATAAATTGGTCAACACTCTGCAAGTAACATGGAGATGCTTGTACAGGGTTCATCACATAACGCGTTTATAAAACATCTTGTTAAACATTTTCAATGTCTCCATATTTGAATAATGATCTGAATATTTCTAGGAAAATTAAGAGCAAGGCATAGGCCAATATGAACAATTTGAACTATAGGCAGTGGCGTAGCACTGCCGGTTTTACCAGAAGTGGCGAGGAGTGGTCATGAACTTAAGTAGAGATTTTTCACATGAAATGTAATATAATATGTTCATATGATTTCAAACCGTTTTCGAATTATTTTTGTGAACATTTTAGAGTTTACACTCGAGTTTGCACTAGTATAGTAGTATAGTATATCCAATATCAATTGCAGAATATCCCGCACTGTGCGGCGTCGGCGTGTTTGAAGTTTCCTTTGAAGTGACTGCAGGTGCGGCACAAGATTTTGCAATTGTTTTTGGATAAACTATACCTACACCTATTAAAAAATGTGTATATCTATATATACCTACTCATCTCCAATATTTTTAAAACTGGAACGTTTGAAATTTCACCAGAACTACAATACATGCGCGTATACATGAGGATCTCCCTCGGGATCTCCTAAGCGATAGTGAACACTCTTTCACAAGTTATACCGTGTGATTAGAGTTCTATTGTCATTTGAGCATATTGAAAAACCCTGAATCAACTGGACGTACGATGAAGGTTTCGCCCGAGGTTTCGCCAATAGAAGAACCTCTCGTTTAGTCTTGTGTATATTCGAGTATACAGTGCTTTCGTAAAGTACTGAATAAATCTCGGAATAAATCGAGGAATGAATTATTCATTCTTATAGCCAAACTCTCGGCCTAACTATTACTATCTTTATATCTTCCTATTTCTAAGGAATCTACGAGGGAATCTCCGAATCTTCGAATCTTCTTAGACAGGTCGGTTCTAATCGGGATTCTAATTTTCCATTTGCCACATTTATATGCTCGCATCTATGAGTAAAAATCATATCCACATTTGAGTTATTACCGAGGTTATTACCGAGGGGTGAACCACTATGTCCAATATGTGTACAGTTGGTGTCCAACCCTGATGCAATTTGTCCAATCTTGACCCAATATCCCTCATCTCAAAATTCAAATGTCCAATATGTATATATAATATTCAATATATAACTCGATATATAATCTATTGTATAATAACTTATGGAGTAATGAAAATTCAGGATTCAAAAATATATATCACATATAGGGTTTGTATCTCGGTTTGTATACAGTGCGTCCCGAGGTGCGTCCATTACATTCAGTGCTCTCGCAAAATGAATTTGCAATTAAAAACATACCGATGACCGACCGATGACGCACCTTGTTCCTCATACGGAAATCATCTCGGAACCCATTCTGTATATATCAATTAAATTCAAAAGAATGCCCAATTGAGAATAAAATTTCGTCGTGGACGTAATTACTCGTAATTACTCAAACGTGGATCACCCTGTATCGAGCCCTGTATGCTCAGTTTTTTCTTTCAAATGTGGAAAATTGAAAATAAAAATCGACCTATTTAAGGAGATTTCTCAGTAATGAATAGTTTGGCTGAAAAAAAAAATTCAAAAACTTCTTTAAGTGAGAACTTAATTTAACCTCGAATTTAACTAACGCACTGTATACAAACCCTGAGTGTAATGTATTATTGAATTCAGCTTTCCATGGAGATTCCAGAAATTGAATAATATATAGGGTGCGATAAAAGGGTGTTTCCTCGGGTGTTTAATTTGAAAAAAATCGAGGAAAAAATTGTCGCGGACCTCATAGCTCAAAACGTAGATCACCCTGTATATTTGATTCGATCGGCAAATTGAAATTGAAAATCGACCAGGCTGCGCTCAGAGACAGATAATTTTTGGATAAAAACGAGTATAAAAATCAAGATAAAAATGAATACATTCAGTACCTACTTAACGAAAGCACTGTGAATTAGCCAGTGAAAATTTGAGGAAACCCATGCTAATCGTATATACAGTGTGTCCCAAATTCGATCCTCACCATTGGGATCTCAGTAACTATGAGAGATAGAGAAACGGTTAAATTAGCAAAGTTGTAGCAAATTCAATGTTGAATCATAATCTATCGAGAAATCCGGGCTAGCTTCAGTCATTCTTGAGTTATTTGAGAAAAACTGAAATCTTGTATTTTTGTTTTTCTCGAATATCTCGGAACCTATTGATTTTATGAAAAAATGACTTCAACATTCTCATAGCACTTTTTAGTGCTCTTTTCAATGGTTTTGTCAGTTTTCCGTCAAAATGTCAAATTTCTGAGATATCACCTACAACTTCAATTTTTCTTATGGACGCCATATTGGATTTTGACAGATTTGAAATCAGCATCAAATTTCCTTTCTAGTGATGTATCACACTCACAGTTTTGTTCTATTTGGGGTACTGATTTCCAATTTTTGTTTTTATGTCAAGTAGGCTATAAATTCTGTGTTCTATGTTCTCGCATAACTTATCGCATGGAATTGGATGTGTACTATTATAGCAGAAAAAAAATTTAATAACAGTTGAATAATACAAATACTGAAAAAAAAAATCAATTGAACTGCTCGAAATGGCCCCCATTGTTCTCGATACATTTTAATATTCGCGAGCGAACATGATTCGCTGCTTTTCTCAGATGAACTCTGTTGATGTTCTGGAATGTGTCCATCACCCTATCTCGTAGATCATCAATATCTTGAATTGGATCTTCATAAATTTTATTTTTGGCGTAGCCCCACAGGTAAAAATCGAGAGGCGTACAGTCAGGCGACCTTGGAGGCCATCTCACAGGTCCATGGGTAGTAATTAATTTAGCACCAAATTGATTCTCGAGATATTCCCTAACCAATCGCGTATTGTGCGGTGGGGCACCATCTTGCTGAAACCACATTAACTCATATTCAGCAAGTGGTATCTCGTCTATAAAATTCGAAATTTCATTTCTCAATAGCTCTAAATAACGTGGACCATTCAAGTTATAATCGTAGATTATTGGACCTAGTAGTCTACTGCCTGAAAAAAATACACAATGAGAAACAGTTATTCATGGACCAAAATTCTAGTAAGGTACCAAATATCCCACACCAAACATTGAAACCAAATTTGTTCTGCCACTTTGATTCTCTGATGACATGCGGATTATTTTGTGCCCAGTAATGATGATTATGTTTATTGTAAATTCCATTATTATGAAATCTCGTTTCATCGGTCCAGCAGATATTCAATGGAAAGTTCTCGATTATTTCACACTGGTTATGGAACCAGTGACAAAACTCGAGACGACGTTCATTATCACCAGGTCTTAACCCTTGTACTATCACTGGTTTGAAAGGGTTGGTACTTATCATTCACTAAATGTCTGTGGATTGTTTGTTTTCGGTACAAGAGTTCTCCGACTAAGCTCTCGAATTGAAATGGTAGGAGTTTGATTGATGATTCCTTCGATATTTGCAATATCTTGTTCATCCAAGCGCAAACCATACCTTGGCCTAGGTGCAATGAAACTTCCATGCTCTTGCAAATTTCTTTGTAATGTTTAGAAAAATAGAAGGATGCGGTTGTTGTCTTTCTGGATATAAAATGGAAGTATTGTCTAGCTGTTTCTCTGTTATTTCGATTATTTCTGATATAACAATTGTACATATCAAATTTTTCGAGATTTGTGAACGGCATTGTTTGCCCCGAAATAATTGACTTGTATTTTTTCTTGACGTTTACAGAAATGTCACTTGGCTCACCTTTGCTCCAAGCCTACTCTATGAAAGTTGTGCCAGAACACATTATCGTTAATGTTTATAGAGAGCTTAGCGCATAGCCTACTGGACATAAAAACAAACATTGGAAATCAGTACCCCAAATAGAATAAAACTGTAAGTGTGATACATCACTAGAAAGGAAATTTGATGCTGATTTCAAATCTGTGAAAATCCAATATGGCGTCCATAAGAAAAATTGAAGTTGTAGGTGATATCTCAGAAATTTGACATTTTGACGGAAAACTGACAAAACCATTGAAAAGAGCACTAAAAAGTGCTATGAGAATGTTGAAGTCATTTTTTCATAAAATCAATAGGTTCCGAGATATTCGAGAAAAACAAAAATACAAGATTTCAGTTTTTCTCAAATAACTCAAGAATGACTGAAGCTAGCCCGGATTTCTCGATAGATTATGATTCAACATTGAATTTGCTACAACTTTGCTAATTTAACCGTTTCTCTATCTCTCATAGTTACTGAGATCCCAATGGTGAGGATCGAATTTGGGACACACTGTATATTTCTTCGATTTAGTTGCATGAATTCACCTAAAATGGTTAACA